ATCTATCTATCTATCTATCTATCTATCTATCTATCTATCTATCTATAGAAAGACTTCTGGAACTAAAATGGCATAAAGCTGCTGCAGTATACAGTATTCAAAATATAATGCTTTTCTATCATTTCCAATTTTATCTTTAAATACAGGAATAGTGGAAATATTCAACCAAATAAATGTATTTTCTATTTGGTCATGATTATCTATAAATAGTTATTTTTTCAGTCTGTGTGTGCCAAGGCAAACTTTCTTTTTATGCATCCAAATTCTTAATTGTTTTACTTTTTTCTTGTAAATGAAATGTAAATTAAAATCCACAGCTGTAGATGGACCATTATATTACTGGTTATTGTGTTTGGAATCGGATCAATTCATAATCAGTTCAGATTTGATCATCTAATTGAATTAAAACTCTCCCAGTGAGCCTTTCACTGATAACTGGAATAGTCAACAAAAAGACTAAATATATTACCGACTCTCATGGGCTCTCCTGGGATAAGTTGCCTTTTCCTCTAACATTACAATCAAAACTGCTTGATTAATCCATCAAGCTCGACTACACCAGTTTTTCCATTTGAGACTGAATTGAGACTGATTTTGGCTGAAGTGTTTGTTTTGTGTGTGTTATTACGTAGTTTCGCCGCTAGGTGGCGACAGTTCCCCTGCAGCTCCATTATCTTTCCCAGAAGCATTACCGTAATCCTGAATGGAAATGTGACCGAAAAAGTCCCGGAAAAAAAAAAAAAAACTGTCACTGCTTTCTAGGATTGTAGGGAAATGCCTGATGTGGAAAATAAGAGTGATTAGGATTAGTTATTAGTTATTGAATAAGATATAAGGTGAGTAAAAAAGAGCTAAATGATTTAAAAACTCCCCCTTCTTCCAGATAAAAAATAAAATAATGAAGACCACTAACAGAAAGGTTTCACTGGAGTTCTGGCTCTGGAAAATATACAGTGGGGGAAATAAGTATTTGAGCCCTTGCTGATTTAGCAGGTTTGCCCACTTACAAAGAATGCAACGATCTATAACTTTAATCATATGTACATTCTAACAGTGGAAGACAGAATCCCAAAGAAAATTCCAGAAAATCACATCATATGAATTTATAAAAATTGATAACCATCTGATGAGGAAAAATAAGCATTCTTTGTAAGTGGGCAAACCTGCAAAATCAGCAACTGGTCAAATACTTATTTCCCCCACTGTAGATATTGAATTTAAATATGAAAACAGTTGCACAAAGATTTTGCGTACTTCTGAAATCAAAATGGGCTCCAAGTCTTTTTTTTTTCTTACTTTTTCTGGACCAATTATTTTCCTAACCTCCTGAACTTGAACTAATTATTTGGGATGTCTCAACAGGAATTGATCATTGTTTTAACCTGGTGCATCGCTCCTGGCTGTGTGTAAACAAACCGGGTTCGTGACACAGACCTGCTGCCTTACTTTGAGAAGGGGGGGGGGGGGGTATAAAAATAAAGCTAAAAGCTAAAGGACACCAGCTGCCAGAGTCTGCACCGGCTTCAGCCCAGAGAGGAACAGCCTCCACCCACAGGTCTGTGCTTCTGCTCTTATTCTGGAACAAAGGAGAATTAGAGGTAGTTTTATTACAAAGCAACGGGCAGTTGAGATATTTCTAAGCAGATTAAGCTGGGATAAGAACTACAAACTTGGGGTTTAGCAACAAAACAAAGGATCTTTAATGTGTTCTGCTTCTGGTTTCTAAAGAAAACCTCTCGATTAACATTTTTTTTAGGTAAAACTGGTGCGTTTCACCTTCACAACATTTGTCTGATTCTTCTCTGAGTGTTTACACACATCGCTTTTTTCCACACATGTCTTTGTCTTCTCTGGAATAAAGGAGAATATAAGATGTAGTTTTTTTACAAAGCGATATGCAGTTTAGGTATTTCTAAGCAGATTAAGCTGAGATAAGAACTACAAACATGGGGTTTAGCAACAAAACAAAGGATCTTTAATGTGTTCTGCTTCTGGTTTATAAAGAAAACCTCTTGTTTAACCTTTTTTTTAGGTTAAACTGGAGCGTTTCACCTTCAAAACATTTGTCTGATTCTTCTCTGAGTGTTTATACACATCGCTTTTTCCACACATGTCCTTGTCTTTTTTTGTAGATATTTCTAAGCAGATTAAGCTGAGATAAGAGCTACAAACTTGGGATTCAGCAACAAAACAAAGGATCTTTAATGAGTTCTGCTTCTGGCATCTTAAAAAAAACTCTTAATTAACCTTTTTTTGAGGTGAAACTTGACACATGTGTGTCTCTGGTGTGTTTCACCTTAAAAACATTTGTCTGATTCTTCTCTGAATGTTTACACACATAGCTTTTTTTCCACACATGTCCTTGTCTTTATATTAGATGTAGTTTTTTTACAAAGCGACAGGCAGTTGAGATATTTCTAAGCAGATTAAGCTGAGATAAGAACTACAAACTTGGAGTTTAGCAACAAAACAAAGGATCTTTAATGTGTTCTGCTTCTAGTTTCTAAAGAAAACCTCTTGTTTAACCTTTTTTTGAGGTAAAACTTGACACACGTTTGTCTGATTCTTCTCTGAGTGTTTACACACATCGCTTTTTCCACACATGTCCTTGTCTTTTCTGGAATAAAGGAGAATATTAGATGTAGTTTTATTACAAAGCGACAGGCAGTTGAGATATTTCTAAACAGATTAAGCTGAGATAAGAACTACAATCTTGGGATTCAGCAACAAAACAAAGGATCTTTAATGTGTTCTGTTTCTGGTTTCTAAAGAAAACCTCTTGTTTAACCCTTTTTTTTAGGTAAAACTTGACACACAAGTGTCCCTGGTGTGTTTCACCTTCACAACATTTGTCTGATTCTTTTCTGATTATTTACACACATCGCTTTTTTCCCACATGTCCTTGTCTTTTGTTATTTTTCTGTGAGAGTAACAGAGTAAGATGGCCAACCCTTGGTCTGAGTAAAACAGCTTTTGGGAATAAGCAGCCGGGTGTTTAGCGTAGCGCTAATCTTCCTCACACCTGCCACGGTCATGCACAGCTATAAATACCGGGATCATCAGGGATCCAGCAGGTGTCGGTGTAAAGGATCCAGTTCATTAGGAGCAAAGGAAAAGATTTACTCTACAACCTCAGTCTAATACACGAGCCTTAGTTTAGTTTTGTCCTCAACTTAATGTTTCTTTTTGCAAGAACTCAGTGCAATATACAGTGGGGGAAATAAGTATTTGACCCCTTGCTGATTTTGCAGGTTTGCCCACTTAAAAAGAATGCTTATTTTTCCTCATCAGACGGTTCTCAATTTTTATAAATTCATATGATGTGATTTTCTGGAATTTTCTTTGGGATTCTGTCTTTCACTGTTAGAATGTAAATATGATTAAAGTTATAGATCGTTGCATTCTTTGTAAGTGGGCAAACCTGCAAAATCAGCAAGGGGTCAAATACTTATTTCCCCCACTGTATTTTTTGTGTGTCTGTGAGAGCCCCGCTGCTTTACTCTGCTTGTGACCAATAAATGTCATATTTGTCCTCTTGTTTTACTTTTGTTTTATTCTCAGGCTTCCAACTAAAGAACCAAAACTAACGGTCTACAGGCTCTTCTGCTGGAACCATAAAATCATCAGTAACATGCTGATATTTCTGGCGTTTTCGTGGCTCCTTCACTGAGAGGACTTCAGTTTTCCACAAGTGATCAGAGACATGGACCTGTGATGTTTTTACCGGGCTGAGCCTGGAGTTTTTGGGGCCATTAGCGGGCCGGTGGATTTAGTTTAATATAGGATTTTGCTCAATATAGAAGTATTTTTAAAAAATCTAATTTTTTAAGTGTTTAGGAGGCAGAAATAAGACTGAACAAAGACAGGGACAGGATTTTGTATTTTCAAAAAATCTTATTTTCTTTTAAGCGTTTAGGAGGCAGAAATAAGACTGAATAAGACAGGGGCAGGATTTTGCTCAATATAGAATTATTTTTAAAAAA